AAATGGAAAGCGACCGCTGCCCATAAACATCCGCAATTGCAGATGCGTTGCCTACCCTTCATTGACGGAGGAGAAGACGCACATAAAGAGGACATTTTCCCTTCCTATGCGTCTCCTACACCGTCAAATCTACGTTTCCTTCCCATCCGTTCCTATTAAGAAAAGGGTTGAAAGGGAATTGTCTAAAATTAGGCCTCCTCATTGTTGAGCCACAGATCAACTATGGTGATGCTGATCTTTGAAACCAATTCAGAGCTTTACACACCTCTATTGAAAATGTTCATACGGATTTGTAGAGCATGCGCACACCTTTGACTATCGCACGACTGTTCAGTTTCGATTTGATTCCTATAAGCTTATATTTATGTGCTCATTACTCGATTGTTAGTTGTGCAACTAAACAGTTGAATTAACTGCGAATGAATTGACAATCGCATAACAGTTTGCAATAGTTTAGTCAAATGTGGCGCCCTCTCGTAGGCAAAATCATTACACAACTTTAGGGTTAATCTTCTTCAGTCTTCAAGACTTATTATCAGTCCGATTTTCATCGTCCATGTTAATAATTGTCTATGACGTATCGGAAAAATCAACGCAACTGCGTCACTAACGAAATCGTTTAACTAGTTCATAAATAAGGTATAAAAAAGTACCTACATATTGAATCGCAATAAAATGTCAATTTCCGCAATCAAATGAAAATAGTCCCGCTATTGGTGTTGTAAAATTTTGTACAATTTTAGTCTAATAAACGTTTTATGCTTTGATATTTTATTGCAATTTTATTGGTCTTGATATGAAATCACAGTACTTATGTAGTTAAGTATTGATTTTTAGAATTATCTTTAAATTCATTACTTAGGCCGTCTTTACCCGGGTAGGGCCGCGCTTAGAAGTCAAAATATATATTTTTTTTATAACATAAAGTGGCAAACGAGCAAGCGGCCACCTGAATCCGCCAAAATGGCGAAGCGACCGCTGCCCATAGACATCCGCAATTGCAGATGCGTTGCCTACCCTTATACGACGGAGGAGGAGACGCACATAAAGAGGATATTTCCCCTTCCTATGCATCTCCTCCACCGTCAAATCCACTTCCCCTTCCCATCCTCTCCTTATAAGAAAAGGGTGATAAAGAGAAAGGGACTTAAATTAGGCCTCCGGCACCACACTCATCAGTCGAAACACGGAATTGCTTCCATTTGACGCCTGTCTTCTGTGTGGTCGTGGTATTACACCGGGCGTGCCGGCCCATTCGTGCTAAGATGTTAAAGCGGGCACTACCACTGTTAAATAATGGTGGACTTAGGGTGCTTGCGCCAAATTATGGTATATGGGTGCAAAGGCGGATCCAGCTTTGGCGCCAGGGAGGGTCACATAGTCGTGATCAAGTCAAGATCTTGACAAAATATGTAAATATATTTTGTCAATCTCTTGACCGATCAGCTGGGAGGGGGTCATAACCCCCGTAACCGCCCCCTGGATCCGCCATTGTTATTGTTGGCAAAAAAAATGGCGAAACAATAGAGAATCTCCGACTGCCTCTCCATTAACGTATAAATGTGATTCAATAAATGAAGAACTAATTTCATTCAAGTATTTTCAGTTAGCGATCGTAATTGGCTGTACGTTTTTTTTTTGTTTTTTTATTCTTTAAATAGTTACGTATCATTTTTTTTATAATTACAGACTACTTAAGGATAGTTAGCGATAGAATATAAAAGATAAACTAATTCACGGTAATCTTAAACGATATGGATATAAATGTACCGATATGATTTGTTAATTTCCAAACATTGGGATATTATAAATCTTATATTGTTTAGATTGGCTATTAATTTTTTCCTTATTAAAAATTACCGGTCTTACAATCCGCCTTACTACAAAACAAAAACTTTTTCATAGAGAAAGATATGTTTTTGGACGGATGTGACAGCAGTAGGTGACCACAGATAAAACAATATTTTGCTAATACTATTCGACATCGAGAATTTTTTATTATTCGTATGTAATTGTATATAAGCTAGCTTTCGTCCGCGTGTAATAAAAAAAACAAAAGTGAGTAACCTATGTGTTCTTCAGACTATCCTCTACGTCTATGCCAAATTTCATCAAGATTCGTTCAGCCATTTAGGCTACAAACTCTAACAAACATCCATCCATCTTTAGCATTTACAATATTAGTAAGATTGAGTAAGAGACAAGCTTGAAGTCTGCGTGTTCAAAATAAGGCAATAATAACCTAATCTCTGATGGCAATGGTCCTGAAAAATAATCTAACCTTATCTAAAACGTCACAAATACTAGACGAATAATTATCTTTACAACTGTATCTAATTTATTCAATTTATATTACAAATGCATTCAATATAATGTTCTTAGAAAACATTAGTATATAGGATTAGATAAAAATTAACTAAAACTAAATTCGTGTTTACAAGTTAATTATTATTAATTAAATTAATATTGAAAATGAATTATTGTTATCAATACATTCTTGAAACGTGAACGTGATCATGAAAACGAAGGCTATCTTCACGCAGTGTATTTCAAAAAGGGGTGAAGGGAAAAACAATTAGGAGAATAAAGCTTATTTTTTAACAATGAAAGGATGGGATAGTAAAGTAGATTTGGCGAGAGATAGAAAAGAATAATATCATGTTTATGCACATCTGTAACACAATAATAATTTAGAGAATGTTTTTAGAGAAACATGATTGTTTATATTGACGATGTCCTAAGTATTTCGAAACATATATGAACATTTTAAACACTTGACATTTTTCTGCTAACAAATTAAGGTTTAAAAATACACAAAATTGCATTGATATTTTGTTAATCAACAAAACTGTATGTATTGTCCCAATGTATGTTAATGAAATCGGGGATTGAACACACCTCTTCGCATAATTTCTGATAGAAAGAAATGGACCTTACTCGCGAAAACAAGCACTCACAGCTCACAGCTTTTGCACGTTACCACAAATAATCTATACTATTATAATAAAGCGTAAACACACACTTCTTTGTTGCCTAAGATGTCAGCTATCGCAGTATATTTTCGAATAACTATTTTTTTTAATCAAAAGCCCTACATTTACGTCATTTTTTAGCTTTAGGATATATATTATGACGCCATTAAACTTAGGAGCTATATATTTTAGAAAAAACTATAATGTGGGAAAGAGACCATAAACTGCCAACATCAAAGAAGCAAGATTTCCATGTTAATAGGTATTTTGACATTTGCAATTAATAATTTGACAAATGTAAACAATAAAAATGTTTTTATAAAGCCGCACGGGAATAGCTAGTATATTATAGATTTAATATGTATTTAGTTTTGGCTCAATATTTAAAAGTCCATTGTCCAAGTCATTCTCTACGATTGTATAGCTAATTATATCAATATGAACTCACACCTCTATGAGTAATAAAGCAACTACAATCTTCATGATTCCGATCAAATTAGATCTGATTTAATGATATTTAATTTTATTATCACTTTGGAATTCCAGCAAACAGTAGTTATTTAGCTATTTTATATTAAGAAGTCATAGATACTAGCGATTTTGTACAAGAAGTTTTTTTAGAACGTTTCCCTTATTTGTTAATTTGAACGCATCAATGGTTATAGTTTGTGCCTCTTAGGAGCATCGGTGGCTCAGTGGTTCGAATCCAGCCATGTACCGATGTGATTTTCGATTTTTCGACTTTTCATATGTACATAATTTACTCGAAGTTCTTACGGTGAAGGAAAACCACCCCTTACTTAGAGTATGCTTCGAGCCTCCTTCGAGCCCCTCGGTGGGGACGTATAGTGAGCTGGTGATGATGACGTGATGTCCCTTATACGATATTGTAAATAGACTATTACAGACATTCTTCAGGGTGGAGCTGGAGTTATATTTCAACAAATCTTTAGGCTTGTGTTAAGACAAGGTCGGCGTTAGGACAGGGCGCGGTTAGGCGACCAAGAGTATTGACAAAAAGTGCCGCTAGGTCTGCAAATCATACAAAACCTTGTCCAAAAAAGGGATAAAACCAATACTAAAACCCGTATGATCAAACCGATGTTCGGCTGTCTCGGGCATTCTGAATCGGAATGCTAAACGCGTATTGAGTGACAGCCCAAAACGAGGTCCCCTCGAGGGGGCCCTTGTCCCTAGTCACTCTTTGTAGCATCCACCATAGCGATCTAAGAGCTCGGCGGCCTCGCAATCGGGTAATAACAACGAAGTATCGGCCCGAGCCGAGGCTCCTGAGGGAGCCCTCGAGCTTAGTTACTTTAAACGAGGCTTATGCTAAGCGCCATCTGCGCTCGGCCACCTCAAGCCCGGTGAGTTTGTAAATGCCTCTTCAAGGCAAACTTTGGCAATTCAGTCACAATAAAAATGCAAAAACCGGGAGCAGTGCAATCGAATGACGAGATTCAAATCCACGAACTCATGATCGGTAGTTCGTATATTTAACCAGCAGGCTAAATACCAATATTATAAATGCGAAAGTTTAGATGAATGGATGTTTGTTAGAGTTTGTAGCCTAAACGGCTGAACGGATCTCCATGAAATTTGGCATAGACGTAGAGAATAGTCTGGAAGAACACATAGGTTTTTTTTCAATTCCACGCGGACGGAGTTGCGGGCGAAAACTAATTCCTTATAAGGTTGAATCTTTGTTGTTTGTTACGATTTCTATTTATGTTTCCATGATCTTCATTTTAAGAACTCATTGTCATACAAAAGAAGCCGTTGACACTTATCAATTGAATTATTAACGCGTTATCAGTTGATAATTTAAATTAATCCCTTGAAAGAAAAATTCTTCCTCATACATTATCTATACATTTTCTATTTACAGTTACAAGATACACTTTAGACTTTGTTGCAAGGAGTTAGAGGTTATAATACAATTATAGAACTGCAAATAGATTTTTGTATATTAAAATGATCGCGTATAAAGGTATTAACGAATGGTAATATCAAGACAGTCTGAGCAGATCCAAAGACAAGACCGCGGTGTGAAAACTTTTATAAACTTCATCCTGTCAAAGGAAATAAGTGACAAAGTGCCACACGTGATTTTTTTGTGACAAGGAGGTCAAAATGATTGGTGCGTATGATCTATGGTCTATTTTTTTAATGATAATGCAACTATTTGTAGCAAAGATATCTTGGAAATAGATTGCGTCTAAAATCGTTAAGGATTTCGTTGTCTTTGTCAGCATACATGCCTGTTAAACTCGAGTCTACTCTAATTTAGGGGTAACTAGGCTGCAGTCATCCAGCCCAATGGATTGTTTCTTATTGGCGAAGAAATTAAAAAAAATGTGAAGTCAACCCTCAATTAGCGTGACTATAGCCTAGTCACCCCCTAATTTAAGGTAAGCTCTGACTCCAACAGTGTGGACGTATAGCTGTTACGTTTTAATAATCTATACTCATATTATAAAGAGAAAAGATTTATATTTTGTATTGAAATAACTCAACTACTGGGCCGATTTTGATAATTCTTTCACCGTTGGAAAGGTAATTAATCTTTGAGTAACATAGGCTATATTTTTTTAATTTCATGTGGACGAAGTCGCAAGCAACAGCTAGTCTTAAATTATTTCATAACAATTGCATTTTTCGCTTGTTTTCCTCACCTATTATCCCCTATGATTAGTAATAAAGGAAGTTCTATTAACGTCAGAACTATGTAATAAGTTACGTATCAGATTAAATTAAGGTAAATGTAAATATTATTCTGTCATCAGTCACTATGAATTAGGTCTTCCCCATGGAAGTACTACTAGAACAGGAATGAGCTCTTGAAGGCGAGCGAGACCTCAGTAACTGTACCTTTTATCCTTTTCTAGCGATGGTGACCATGTTGCAATATGATTTAAGGACGGTAATTTAAAAAATCTTATTCTTACTGTCTGTCGTTAGCAGATTGTTGTACGTAGTACTTACAGTTTTTGTTTTTAATCTCTTTAATCTATCTATTTCTTGTTTATGGCTCTCCCACAGCGGATTGGGCCAGTGTAATTTTATACTATGGTCACATTAGTCATTCCCGCCACTTACGTGGTTTGTAGGCGTCGCATCTTTTAAACATTTATATAAATTATGTATTACTTCCATGGTCTTCCCCAATACCTTTATATTACGTGGCTCTATGAATGTGACATTCAATTACGTTTTATCAAATGGATAAAAGTATGATGCGTGTAAAGAATGTGCTTGTTAACGGTCTACGTGTGTTAAATATCGTTGCAAAAATACAACAAATCAAAATGCCTTACTAATAAATGCGAATGTTTGTTTGGATGGATATTTGTTAGAGTTTGTAGACTGCTGAACGGATCTCGATGTTGCCACAGATGTAGAGCATAGTCTTGGACAACACATGTGCTATTTACTTTTATTTTTTGAGATTCCACCCAGACTAGACGCTAGTAGGCTAGTAGTTAAAAGTTTAGTAATAAAACTTTCATTATTATTCTAATTTCAACTAAAGACAGTTGTCTAGTCAATTTACGTAACATGTTTTGGACTTTATATTTGTTAAAGACATATACTTCCACAGCACACAGAGTCGTATTTAACATTTATGTCGGCCAGGGCGAGATTTCTATGGCGCCCTGGGCGGTTGCCTTACCCTAACGCCGATACTAACTTCACAATAGAAGCCAGATTTCTATTTCCTACTTCTTGGTTATTAAGATTTGTGTGAAAAAATTAGACGGTGCTGCCCTCTAATTCTGACCTATCTGAAAGTGGGATAAAAACGTCAAGTGTTGAAGGACAACATAAATATTTTTCGACATCTCTATTTATTTGAAGAATGAAAGGGACATATCTACACTAATATTATAAAGAAAAAAGGTTTGTATTTTTGTATGTATTGAAATAACTCAAAAAATACTGGGCCGATTTTAAAAATTCTTTCACCATCAAAAAGGTAATTTGTCTGTGAGTAACATAGGTTATGTTTTATTATTACTAATGTTTAGGATCTATTAATAAACAGCGTGTTTCTGGACGCCGGCGTTAAAAATTCACTAAACTTTAATGTTTCTATAATTGCCGCATGCAAATTATTGTCGGACTTCCACTTCTAACTTTTCATCCTATTTTTGTTCAAAATATCATGGCGTATCAATTCTAAGATAAAATAATAGATAAGTTATTTATATTAGTCCCTTTTATATTGTCTATAACATTGATTAGATGAACGGAAATATAAGTGTAAATAAAATTTAATTGCCCAATAAATAACGCGAATTTGATTATGGAACGTTCTGAACAAAACATTTGAATACTAAAATGTGTTTTTTTTATAATATTTAGATTTAGTTTAAGTTTTCTAGTTGTGATCGAGTGTAACATTGAGTACATATTTTCTTCTTCTATTCTGTAGAACTGCGTTTTCTTTCCGTTCTTTCTAATAGGTTTTCTGACAGCTGTAACATTTGTATTGATATAGCCTAGCAGTAAATATCCAGGACTGGGGACGCTTCAATCCACTTCATTACACTTAGCGTGCACATCTGAAACCAAACTATCGCACAACTGTTTGGTCTCTTTCCTACCTATGAGCTTATGTGGAGATCCGCACACTCGATTTTAGTTGTGAAATAAAACAGATGAATTGACTGCCGCGCTGTTCCGTATGCAATCAAATTAGTTTAATTTTTTTCGGAAATATGGCAAAGGAGTTTTATTCCTCAGTCTATATTCCCTAATATTTTATTCTACAAAAAGAAAATCCACGTGTCAATACAAATCTCTGTAATTATATTAAGATTCTGTGCTCTCTTCCCGAGCGTTTATGCTCCTATATTATACTATCTTTTGCTGGCGACTTTGTCCGCGTGTAATTAAAAAAAATCAAGTAGCCTATGTCCTAATCCTCTACATCTATGTCAAATTTCATCGAAATTCAGCGGGGATATAATAGGGAAGTATACATAAATAAAAAGACTGACATTACATGCAACTCATTTAATGTATTTACAAAAGGAAATACTTTACAATTTAAAGATCATTGAGTGTCTATCGCCGTATTTTTATTATTCTACAAAAAAAAACACAAAGACTTTTTATACAATTATCGAAAATTATTAAAAAAAAAACAGTCATACAAGTACATATAAAAGTGGAAAAACATTGAATTCAGTTCATAAAAATAGGCGTTATCAACTCACAACTAGGGGGCGTTGGGAGACAGGCTAAGGGGGGCTAGAAGAAAAATATTTTATTCCAAATATAAACTTTAAAGAAAACATCATTTTTGAATTATCTACACAGACCTAGTAATTGTACAAAACTTATTATTTTGAATTTATTTTCCAACCCATGGCAACACTTAAGCATAAAACAATTATTTAGGAAATATTAGGTCCAGCTAATTGGATATAATTAAATAAATAAAGTTAACAATAAAAATAGACAATAAACTATATTTACTTCTAAAAGCTATTTGTACAATAAACCAATAATATTTAAATAACTATGTTGAAAAAACTACTCATTCATCCAAAAAATAAATCCATTTTAAGAATTATGTGACATGTATATTACAGGGTGTTCAAAATATATAGCTTTGTTAGATGCTTCCATATTCATCAAGGTTACTTCATCAGCTAATAATCTTCACATCTATGCATTCACCACCTTCTAAATCCAACTCCTCGGGTGTCATGGTACCTAGAAAATTATTAACTACAGTAGAATGTCAGTATCTCAAACCTTGGTAACTTAAAAACCTTCATAACTTCAAAAAATATGTTCTCTTCCCATCAGAGCCCGAAACCTCTATAACATAGACCCTTGATAACTTAAAACCTCTATAACTTAAAGCATTTTGTGTTTCTCTTGAACTTTAACTTATTGAGGTTCCACTGTGTAACATGTGTACAAGAAAATATTAATATACATTTATCATTTCAAATTTTCTCACTGAATTTGAAATAATTAAAATAAAATATAAATAAATTAATAACAAATTTTTCTTCTGATGAGTTTGGTGCCGGAGGCCTAATTTTAGTCCTTTTTCCTTTCCTCCCTTTTCTTAAGAGGAAAGAATGGGAAGGAAAAGTGGATTTGATGGCGGACACACATATGAAGGGGAAATGTCCTCTTTATGTGCATCTTCTCCTCCATCAATTAAGGGTAGGCAACTCATCTGCAATTGCGGATGTTTATGGGCTTGCTTGTTTGCCACCTTATATTACAAAAAAAAAATTAAAGAATACATAAGAATTGGCAATAAAGAGATTATTTTTTTTAAATATTCGCACATATTTCAGCAACATGGTGAGGTTTTTAAGTTCCTATATGATTTAATGCATGCTCTCTTTAAAACCAATACAACTGTAAAAACATAAAACTATGAATCAAATATAGAAATGTATATATTTCTAATGAAATAACAGTTATAATAGAAAACTTTACCATACCTGTAACACTGTCACCATCGAAGACAAACTTCAGTTTGTTTAAAGGCATCTCTAAATGTTCCGCACATTTGATCATTGCCAATGAGAGTTTATCACTCGGTTGGACTGACACCTCTAACGGTTTTTTTGTATTCTGACATTGGAATTTAATCTGTATACCTTTGAAATTGTCTGTCGTTTTGTCATTAACTAGCTTCGTTACATCCCTGTTTACAACACCTCCATCTATAAATTTCGCAATACTATAGTTAATTGAGTCAGGAGTATCACTAGCTTTTAATATTTTATCGTTATACATAAATAATAAGTTGTTTTCACTGACATTCTCTTTTTCAGCGAAATATTTAAATATCGGTGTTAGTTTTTGAAATTTACGTATCTTAAAGGGATAATAATCTGAACTCCTCCAATATACTTTAACGGATAACTCTTCATTTTCATCTAAAACATCACTATCATCTATTATTATTACGTTATTACTGTTATTTGCTTTGCTAAATAGTTTTTGGCCTTCTAATGTATCCTCATACTCTAGTGTGTTGCCAACACTAAATACAGGTGTAGAATCTGGTATACTGGTATTACAATTTGTGTTTGTATTACAACCTCTTTGACTACGACCTCTACCTCTACCTCTTGTTCTACCTCTGTTAGGAGTACCTCTGGTAGAAGCACCTCTGTTAGTAGTAGTCCTATTAGGAGGTACAACTGTTGAGTTTTTCAGACTTTGTTTACGTCTCCTTGTGGTAACAGACTTATTCAAACTTGTGTCTAATATTTCAATGATTGACTCTGAATATTTGTTTCTCGTCGAAGATCGAGTTTGGCGTCTCGTGGAATACGATAGAATCTTTTCCAACTCCAAATCATCTTGTTCTTCATCGTTGATAGTTACATTTTTACCTTTACCTTTAGCTTTGGGATTTTTATTATTCTTTTCTTCCGTAACAACTTCCACGTCCGAGGATTCATTTAGCAAACTGGAATTGTCCAATTTTTCGTCTATGTATGCATTTTTTAGCTTTTCCAGCTTTAAAGCTGCGTTGCTGTAACAATCTTCTTCTGAATCAGACGAAGATATCATCATCTTTACCGTAAACTTAGTGACTTAACACAAATACGAAATGCTCTAATTATTTAAGTAATACTTTTTGCGGAATAAATTATTTACAAAATTCATAACACAAAAAAACAGGAAACGTTCATCGGTTTAAGTGATTTTTTGGTCGACTGAATTTTTATTTTGAATTTGATATTTTCGTCGACTGTATCGCGCTTGATCTTGACATTGACATAAAATATGACAGATGACAAATAAAAGGTAGCTTTGATGTAGATAAAATTTATTTTGTCTTTGGTTTGGGGTTTTCGTAGTGTGTAAAATTCAGTTTGTTCATTATAAAATTGATTGTTTTCCTATTCTCAGCATTTCTTTTTTATCAGAGGCGTCAATATTGATAATATCCGCACTGTAACGGCTTTTTCAGAAAAAAACTTAAATGAAAACCTAAAAGGATGGGGTTTTCAAATTGTCTGCATGTTTCTTATTAAAAATTGATGGTCTAATTGTTTTTGTCTGAAGTCAATTTAAATGAATCTTCTTCAGTGTATTTCACAGTCATGGTCGCATCAATAAAACGCATCAATAAATAACTATAATAGGAAAGGAATTTAAAAACAACTTTAGTGTTCGTGATTGCAGTCGCGTTTTATATCAAAGTAATCAGATACGTCGTAATTACACGTGTTTTTGTGTTAAAATCGTTTGTAAAATCAAATAAAGCGGCAACATACATCAATAACGTCATTATCTTATCAATGATTAGAATACGAGGTACGAAAGACCGCTTTATGCTTTAGTTCAAAATACTAAATCTGGGCTTTTCAAGTACTTCTAAGCCGGATGTGATGACAGGAATTAGGAAAAACAAATGTTGAGGAGAATATTCTTAGAAATATCTAATTACTGTATCTTATCGCCTGATATTATTGTATTGTACAATTAATAAAAAAATGTAGTTGCTGTTTATTTAAAATCACGGCATTAATTAGGCACTAAAGTGTCGCTGACAAAAAAATGCACGAACACAGTATATAGAACACAGATGTGTAACTTTTAATTTTGAAATTGTAATTTGTAGTTTAGTGATGACTTGACAAAATATCTTTGTAGTTACGCGTATAATTTTAGTACATCATGTAAAAGTGTAGACGTAATCAGTTACAAACAAATTAATATTAACGAAGCGTAAAACAAAAAGCCTCGATGTAAAAAAAATCCCCCAAAATTTCTTCATGCAATCTGTCATCGTAATCATTCAAATCACGGTCGGCCATTTTGACAAGGAGATTATATTAATACACATTAATACTGTCTGTGATTTTGAATCACGCATATTATAGGCTTTATTCGATATGATTATGCAATATTTAGCAATACTGCATTACATACATTTTATCTATCAATAAAGCGTTTTGCGTCTTTTTAAAATTTAATCTGCATGATTTACTGCCGTACTCATTTAACTAAAATGTTCACTAAGAGCGCACACCTAAAACTATTCATCGCACAACTGTTTAGTCTCGCTTTGATTCCTATGAGCTTATATGGAGGTGCGTTACACTACTCGATTTGTAGTTGTGCAACTAAATGGTTGAATTGGCTGCGAAACAATCTACAATCGCACAACGGTGTGCGCCTGTTTTAACAGCTAAGGCAGGGCCGGGATTAGAAAAGGACGTGGTTGAGCGACCGCTCTGAGCGCTGCGCAAGTAATTCTAAAAATTAGGGGCATTTTTTATCTGCAGTTAAGCAATAATTAAGAGTGAATTGATAATACTATATATACAATAAGGGCCTCCTGTATTGCCCAATATCAAACATTGAGTGTAGCAGTAAAGATTTACTCTGTGCCTTTTCCTCAGTGTAAAAAAAAATTAATAACTCATTCTCTTTATGAAGACGGTAAAAATCTTTTCTTTGTATGAACGCAGTCTAGCATGATCTTTATCAATAAAAAAAAATGCATTATCTATACTCTGAGGTGTTCTTTAAAGTTTAAACGATCGCCGATCCTTAATCTAATCTAATCTGATCGGATCTATATCAGAATTACATACTCAAGTGTCCACATCAATTATAATTCAAGTGTTTAACATTCGGACAATGAGGTTTTAATTATAACTTGTATCCACTCAACATTGTACATACTTGAAAAATATTATCAACTAATTATTAGTACGGTGAAGGAAAACATCGTGATGCAACCTGCACATATCAGCGAAGAAATTCAAAGATATGTGTGAAGTCAACCAACCCGCACTTGGCCAGCGTGGTTGACTATGACCTAGTCACCCTAACTTTAGGGTAGGCTCCGAGCCCCTCGGTGGCGACGTATAGTGAGCTGGTGATGATGATGAATTATTAGTACTTATGTTAAAGTGTAACGCATTGAACTGAATAATCAAATATGATATGACGAGCGATACAAAAATGTACACCAAAAAATGGTTATTTTTATTGCATGGGGAGATACTAAGAACAAAGCTTGTTTATTAATCAACATTTTATTCTATCTGCCAGCCGATGACCGGAGCCTAGCCAGCTAAATATTAATATGGTCTTATTTAAATTTGTTCTACATCTTTCATCTCTTAATGATCTTATGGCCCTCGCGCTGGCAATGGCGTCTTGGCCTTACAATGTTTTGCATTACTGTTTGTTACGTATGAGGTAAAATACAGTTTCTTGGAGTTGTGCGTGAATTTCTTTGATCGTAAAATCCATATCTAATCCGTCTATAATCTATCGTCGGCTTATCTCTATAATACCGAGTTTTTGCTAATGGATCTTGATTTTCGATTTCCGTCACATGTCCTTGAAATTTTTGAACTTGTATGTTGACATTGTCTGGAAAAAGGCGTAAAAACGTATGTCTTTTTTTTCACAAAGAGCACCTAAAGAACTCGAGCTTTTTCTTTTCTTTTCTGTAAATTCTATTTCTAACATTTGGCTATACGAAAATGATAGAATGTATTGCATTTTTTTTATATAGGTGCCGAAATTATGCAAAATAAGTTGACTATAATTAGTAAAATAGTAAAAGTGTAGAAAAAGTTAACAAATGTTCATTTGTTCGCAGGAAAATTAGTACCTATACTGTTCCTATTGGGATCTGTTCTCGCTGGTGACGCCGAGCCCAGCACCACAGCGAAGACTACAACCGTTAAAGTGACAACAGCCGCTCCTACCACCACAACTACCGCTAAACCCGCCACCAAAACTAACGGAACGGAATCGATAACCCCTTACAAGCCGTTCGAAGGTGTTGACCCTAATACTCTGTCTTGTGATCCACAGGGACAGGTAATCTTTTCTTAATCTTTTATTTTACTTAACTTGGGTTCGTTCTTATTCATAAAGCTATTTACGTCCTTTTCTCTCTTGTGCTCTTGTTCTGGGACAACACGACATCCACCTTCTAAATCCTAAGGTTTTTAAATGAATTTGTCAAATAAGATAGGTTATTTCAAAACTCATAAATGTTAAAATGGCGATAAACAAAATAGAAATCTGTTATATTTAGCAGTGTTTTGTTTTAAGCTGAACTCTGATAAGTAATATTGACATTATCATCTGATAGAAGATCAATCTCTCTTTTATGGATCCCGTTTAGACAATAGATACAAATGGTTCTCTAGCAACTGTACGATTTTCAAGTTAATAAAGTAAATGTTTCTTCTATCCACAGATCTTCCTCCTGTTGCCGCATTTCACGGACTGCACCAAGTTCTTCATGTGCGCGCACGGCGAGGAAGTCCAGTTTGTGTGTGCTGGTGGACTTTACTTTGACTTCGAGAGACAGGTAATTTTAAAAGAACACAGAAACCTAATCGTTAATTGTTATGCCCATTACAACGTTCTACAGTGAAAATGGAAGTAAATTTGATGAGTTTTCTCATATATCTTTTCAGACTTGCAACTGGCCTAGAGATACTAATTGCATACTTCGTGACTTGCCTGAAGATAATGATGTGGAAGGTTCAGGAGAGGAGGCTTTCGACTGGCTTTCTGATAACGCCGATAAGGCGTCAGATGGTGAGTTAATAATTATTATTATGAGATTCCCGTTTTCGCCATTTTGGATTCGATTTAAGTCGAAACAAAGCAAAAGTTGTCATCTTCAAGCAATGTGCTAATTATTTGCATAAATCTGGGTTCTTTCTAAACAAAAAACTCTTGTTGTCCAGGTTCCGTGGTCAGTTTGACAGCGGACGCGGTGCTGAACGCCGTAAGGCCGCTGTCGCTGGAGACGCCGCCCCGCGGCAACGGCAACAATATCATCCTCAACTGCTTCAGAGCTGACTCCGCTTCCAGACAAGTGCCTTACAAGTCAGTATTCGGCTTATTAACACCTTCTATGTCTAAACAATTTTTATACACGACGACACGCGTTCGTGAAAACAAAGTAGACTAGGTGTACATGCCGACTATCCCTTACATCTGTGCCAAATTTCAGAAAGATCCGTTGAGCAGTTTATGCTACAAACAAACATCCATCCATCTATCTAATCTTTCGCATTTATAATATCTAGTTCATTTAGTCTAAGTATAACATGATCTATGCTTGTTCACAGTCTAGGACTTATATTACCTACCCTTTTCGATTTAGCTCTAAAATCAAATATCAATAGTTTACCGTATTTTCATCCCAAAATGGATAGTGTTTTTTTACTGTATAGTTTATATTTATGATACGTGTTTCAGGGGTGACTGCCAGCGCTACTGGCGCTGCATGAACGGTGTGCCGCAAGTGGCGTACTGTACGGACGGACTGTTCTTCAACGAGAGGACTCAGCAGTGCGACTACGAGGCCAATATCACGTGTCAAGTGGAACAGGAAGACGAACTGAAGAGCGAGTTTATCAAAGTCAAGTAGAACAGCACACGAACACAGAAGACCAAAGACCAGTGACATAATTTTTTATTTAGTCTGTACTTTTTTGACAGTTTTCTGTTTGGTTTAATTTCAAAATTTTGTTATCTGTTGTTAATTATTCTGTATTTTTATTTATTTAAAATAGTTCAGATTAATCGAATTGTTTTTCTTTTATTGAATGGTAACTTCATTTAAAAGTGTTAAATAGGATTATTTAACTAAAGCTTTAGAAATAAACAATATTTTGGTCTTCATAAAGCAACAAGGCAATTTAAATTTAGTAGCAATCTCTATATAGATAATTGTTGGTGGTTAATACCTTATGTTAAATAAATATTTATTTATCTAGATTTAAATGTATGTAAAATACAGTATTATTATAAAGTATTGTATTCTTGTTAAAAAGTGGTCGCGGAATTATATTCAAATTATTTGATTATTCTGTGGCTCTTTGCGATGTCATCGACCACAGACAACGTATTGTATCTCAAAAAATATTTATCATCTGTGTTTTAAAAATATAATATGACAATTTAAAGCTTTGTTTTCTTTTTAATTACTTACCGATTGCCTTTATTTTTATTTAGTAGAATGCATTGCGTATTAATGTTTTTGATTTTAATATTCTTGATAAAGATTTTTATCAGATATTGTAATTTGATTTTGTTATTGAAATTTTTTCTATCAGATTCAACATTATCGGTCGGAAAACTAAATCCGTGTAATGTTTTACTTACAATAAATAATTAAAAAATTGTGTAGATAGCCGATTAAATCAAAATGCATCGTTTTAAAAGATTTTAGCCGACTGGTTTTATAGGTTAGGTCGATGTTTTATAAACATTGATAAAAAAAAGTATCAGTAAGCAATTGAATTTATTATGTCAGTACATTATTTCACGGAAAATTTATGTACATGTTCAAATATCGACTCGTCCAAAGAGAAGAGTTTCATCTACAATGGAATTTCTTAAGTCATTTACGACAGTTTTCTTCGGATCAGTCGTTTTTTGGGCCATTGTAGAACATCATTATACTTTCACTCCTGCTTTAAATATGTCGGGATCTGGTACGTCTTTCTTTTCGAAAGGGTAATAAGGATGGTCCTGCCAAAAGCTCGGCCATACTGTACGATAATCTTTATTGAATTCCGCTGAAACAGAACGTGACTATTTAATTTTTAAGATAACTTTTTTTTTTA